ATCTTATGCGTTCAGGGTAAAATGCATGAAAGTGTTTAAAAAATATAAAATGGAGACTAAAAACTGAGTTCATGCAGTCTTATAGAGGTCGGTACATGGCTTGCTCCGTCACAACACCAACACCATTGTTACGCTTTCATGGAAAATACACCCGAAGCGGGCACGCCGAAGGTATCCAGATGTCTTTTACAACCAAGCATGTAGTATGCTCCTGGTGCTTACCATCTTCCCAATAGTACTGATGTCTTTTACAACCAAGCATGTAGTATGCTCCTGGTACTTACCATCTTCCCATAGTAACTGATGTCTTTTACAACCAAGCATGTAGTATGCTCCTGGACTTACCATCTTCCCAACAGTAACTGTTTCAAGTTGTCAACATATTGAAATAGCTAACACCAAATGATGGTGACGACGATCAGTTTTCCACCCGGTAACCTGTAAAGACGCCTGTGCGGCCTCGACCCGCGAGCAAGAATTTGCCCTAAAGTATGTCTAAAAGAGGTTTAATACGGCCGCTGCCAAAGCTCGGGCACTGGACGACCCAGCGACCCATACTCCGCCGCACCTGCGTCAAAATGTGTTAAATTGACCGGAACTGTGGCGTCAACGGTGATCACGTAGCACAACATTGGGCTGGTCGCACGTCCCAGAGCTACTGACTGCGAAGAGACGAAATCGACGCGACGCAGGATGAGGTGGCGGAGGCGCGCCTCGCCCCGCCAGCCTCACACCGCCCCCGGAAAATAGCTTCCCAGTAGCATACCCCAGTCAATGTCCGCTTGCATGAATCCTTGCGTATACGTATGTGTGAAACATTTACCTACGTATGTATGGTATCTTAGGGATGTAGGCTTACGCTTAGGTATGTATGTGTTAATACAAGAACGGAACCACGTTTTGGGGCTCCGCGTTGCTGGCATTCCATATGTTAAAATCCAGTCACACTCAGATCATCACATCATATAAAATGTAAAATTGAGCGTGGTGTGATATGCATTCGGCACGAAGGCCTACGAAATCAAAGAAATAATACTTTCGATACGAGGCTAAGCTGTTTCCACGATCTTGATGCCTCCAGATGCGTATTAAGATCCACAAAATGGCTGGCAAAGTACCGCGAGCTAAGAGGCGCACTCCATATGTCACGGACGAGCAAAGCCTCGCAGACATATTCCGCTGCGCACAAGCGTCAGCGGAGGTTGCCCGGCGAAGCATGCGATAGAGCGACGATTCTGAGAACATCAGGTGCATACATGACACCCTGAGTCGTGACGAAATATCAGAATGCCGATGCATTTCTTGCCGACTATGACCACATAGGTTCTTCACGAAATCGCAGCGAACCCACGATCAAGCTCAGAATTTTGGTGTGCCTTTAAGCTTAACTGTCTCCAGATCCATGTTGACGTGCGAGAAAGTCGGGGACATGGTCTGGAGACTTTCTTCAAGATGTGTTTTGTGCCGATCCAACATAAGTCGATGTTTCTTATTCATCTTGAGTGCATTTGCGCTGAATGAGGCCTGAAGTTCGCGGGTCGACGTCTCGGGCCCGGGTTTAAGCTTATTGATAATTTACTGATATGGTGAAGTGTGGTCCAAAAACAGTGCGTGATCTGGATATATAATGAGGCGATCGTGTGGCAGTGGAGCTGGCAGATCATTAAAAAACAAAACGAGCAGAAGTGGCCGACCAATGGAGCCCTTGAAACCGCGTAAGGATCAGAAGGACCACGCTTCCTGTACTTACCATCTGCCCGCACAGATACTGCATGACGGCACAACGCCTGAACAACCACACGAATGGGGTTCGAACCAGCCAGTCCCATTACCGCACCACTGAGACTTCATCAGGTGAAGGTCGTGGCAAATGATGTCCTGGGCTAATCGATTGTCGTTTCCGGAGAGATGTCGTCGTAATCGCTGTTTGTTACCAGAGCCTCGGCAACGGCGTCCAAAAAATCACCAGTCGAGAGCTCCGACCTATAAGCAGATTGGGCCAGGCATTGGCAGGCAATGGTACGGTATTTACATATTTGCATAAATCTGAGGATTGGCATATTTATTTCTATCGAACGGTATTTATGTGGTATTTGGGATATGTGCCTCCGGTACAGATCATGCCTCAGGTGCAAATGATCGTCAACAGATGACATACAACTTTTTCAAGACACTGAAACAGCAGGCTTAAGACGCATATTGGTCCGTAGTTAGCACGTTCAATAAGGTATCCTGACTTGTAAGTCGAGGCGACACACACTGTATTCCACTTCTCTGGAAGAAAAAAAGCAAGGACGAAGCACCGGCAATATAGTTTTACGATCCTCACCTTTGGCTATCGAATCGCTTGGACGCCATGTCGCTGCCGGTGGTTACGGAAGTCACCGGCTTGAAAGCGAAAGATGTACTACGAACTTTTCGATTGTAGAGACCGCCCACCGGCGGTAGCGTTAAATGGTCGACAGGGTGTTTCTCCGTCAAAGGGCGCGCCGCGCAATTCGCCACACCAACGGCAATCTAGCCCGCACGCACGCACGGCTCCAAGAAATTGTCCTTGCTTGGCCGAGGTCCACGCCGAACGAGATATTTGACCAAACAGACTGTTCAGCATCCCAAATTGATCCCACTTGAACGCCTTTAACTCGGCCCTGGTGTCTCGGTTTTCATGGTGGCTTCAGGTGTCCCGTAATGTAGTTATTCTGGGTTTTCGTGGAGTTTGCCCAGCCGTGTCATCCCGCGGTGGCGTGTCGGACGATGTCGTCATCGCTGACACGCGACACTCCGGCGGCTGTTTCTGACGCAATGCGGCGTGACCTAGAGGGGCAGCGTATTACGCTCAGCACTTTCCTGCCTGGAACGGACTGTGGTTGGAAACAAAAATATGTCCTCTAAATCGAGCAAAACATTGTCATCTCAAGAACAATTTTCCAGGCCCTCAAAGAGGCACAAGCGCCCAAACTTTCCACTTTTGCGGTGTATTTTCGGCCTTAGCGCTAAACGTTGTCATAATGGGAATACCACTGCGTGGCACTTGCCTTCCATTTGGCTCCTGTTCAGACAAAAACTCCGCATGATTATTGCAAGGTTAAATTATAACAACACAGGCGAAACAAATGCCCCGAATATTCCCCTGCTGTGATTTGTTTTCGGCCATATTGCTGTAACTTAAAACGTCTTTTCAGAACAATCTCTGCTTGGTATCCTCCTCCCATTGACCCAATTTAGGCCCAAGGCTACGCAATATTATTGCAGTCTAGAGCTAAAAATAACACATCATGAGACAGGTACTAACTGAATTAGACGGTTATGCCATAATATTTTAGATGCCTAACTCGAAGCGATTTTGGTTGGCCCAATCCATTAAATATTTGATGCCTGATGTGGAGTTTGGGGCGCCATAATTGTGCTTGGTCTATCATAAGCCTCATCCAAGGTACCAGCAACGATTTCGTCGTGACCAAAGTTCCTCGAGGTATGTGATTTTTGTACGCTAGGTATCCTCCATCGCACCTCCAATCGCATTTCAAGATGCCGACGATGCAGTGAGGTGACCCAGAATTGTTTACAAAACTATACACAGGCCTTCCCTATTTCAGGTATCGTGGGTGCGCAAGCGTGACCTGAAGATTCTGACGGTCGGCAAGTTCACCTACACGTCGGACCACAGGTTCACGGCCGTCCACGCTACTGGATCTGAGGAGTGGGTGCTGAAGATCACCAGCCCACGGAGGGAAGACTCGGGCGTGTACGAATGCCAGGTGTCTGTCGAGCCAAAGATCAGCCAGCCGTTTCGACTCGACGTGGTCGGTGAGATGAATGCTTTTCTTTATTTGGGTTTAGTTCTCTTACGAATATCCCCAATAACTCATCAATTCAGCAGCGTTCACAAAGGACCGCCCAACTGTTGCAATGACTGTATCCACGGACCTGAAGTACGTTTGCAAAACCATCCATTGCACTGGGTTTCAATTGTCAAACTTAATGAAGCGTGTATTAATTTGTTCCTCCTGGCTGCAATTTATTGCAGTGGTTCACACTGCGACAAAATCAATTTCAGACATAGGTACCAGTCAAGTCAATGATGAGTACCGCCGCTGTCAAAAACAAAACCAAAAATGCACCAAAGTACTTGCGTAGAGCTGTGGATGATGTGAAGGCCATTGAAAATAGATAAAACAGAGAGAGAGAGAGAGAGAGGAGAGAGAGAGAGAGAGGAGAGAGAGGAGAGAGAGAGAGAGAGAGAGAGAGAGAGAGAGAGAGAGAGAGAGAGAGAGAGAGAAGAGAGAGAGAGAAGAGAGAGAGAGAGAGAGAGAGAGAGAGCGAGAAGAGAGAGAGAGAGAGAGAGAGAGAGAGATGAGAGAGAGAGGAATAGAGAGAGAGAGAAGATAGAGAGAGAGAGAGAGAGAGAAGAAGAGAGAGAGAGAGAGAGAGAGAGAGGAGAGAGAGAGATAGAAGAGAGAGAGATAGAGAGAGAGAGGAGAGAGAGGAGAGGAGAGAGAGAAGAAGGAAGAGAGAGAGCGAGGAGAGAGAGAGAGAGAGAGAGAGAGCGAGAGAGAGAGAGAGAGAGAGAGAGAGTAGAAGAGAGAGAGAGAGAAGATGAGAGAGAGAGAGAGAGAGAAGAGGAGAGAGAGAGAGAG